AAAAAAAAAATCTGAGGCAGCATTTTCACAAACCTGCTTTTTGGGGGCTGTAAATCTCCTCCTCTGAGACTGTGAAATTACAGGATGGAGTACAGATGATTGCTTAATCATATGCTGTGAATTAAACTACTTGTATGTATCAGATTCGATTTTTGTTGAATAATAAAGATTTCACATGTGTTCTATTTCTGTTCATTTAGTGATGAAACTCAAGGTGAGTTGTGGTGCGTAGGGGACATTACATGTCACCCACTGCCGTAACTTTGAGAGTCTTTTAGAAAAAGAATAGTGGCAGGTGAGTTTCATGTTTATCATGTCATCTCCTGTTGCGCTCTAAGTACCTGAAGTGATAATAATGAAGCACAGCACTGTACAGACCATTGCTTAGAAACGCAAGGAAAATGCGTTCATTTTGTTATGCAGCATTTTACTATGAATATGTTATTCATTTCACATCTTGCATTATCCAGTAGTAAAAAATCTCAGGGGTATTTTTCAACTTTAATTAATGTTGTGCTGATGACATATGTCTCCACTGAAGACGTGGTTTTTTTCTTCTTTCCAAGATTTTAAGTATTATGAGACTCTCTTAAGGAGCAATCAGATATTAATTGGCTGTTTGTAAAATGCTGTTATTTATAGCAGTCTAAGAGGTCATCTTTTAGGACTGTTTCCAACTCATAGTGAAGGGGAACACTGATGTAATAATAAGGAAAACAAAAAGCTTTCCTAATATGTAGGAAACCACCAAAGGTCCATTTAATTATTTTCCTCAAAAACGCTAACTCTGAGGTGAGGTGTAGGTCTTGCTCATTAGTTTGCAAATATATGAGGAAAATTTATGAATTTGCAGATTCATGTATGCACAGAGGTGGTTCGCTTGAAACAGGTTTGTCCAGAATATACCCGCTGCTCATCTTGTAGCACTGAAACAGAGGAACAATGTATAAAGTGAACGTTTTTAAAATAAACATCCTCAGATTAAAAAGGATCTCTTGTCTCAGCTGGATTTTTGAGAATACACGGTAGAAGAAAGTTAGCTACTGTCCTGGATTCAGAACTTTCTGGATCTGCTTTGATGCCAGACTGCTGTTGCTACAGGGGAGACTAGGGACTGTTTTTATGCTGATGTATAATCGCAGTGGTTCCAGATTTTCTTCAGTAAATACCGTCCTTTTTCAGAACTAGTTACCGATGAGCAATTGCATCTTTAGAAGTGTCTTATGACAGTCTCTTGCATTTGCTGCTTCATAATTTCGTCGGCTACCACTAATACTGATCTTACGCAAAAATTTGAACAATTACTTCCTTCAATGTCTTAGACTTGAGTTATAAGAAATTTGGGGCAATGTATTTTCTGTGTTCAATACCTAATCTGAAGTTTTGCCTGAATGTAGGGCACACAGGCACAACAAAATGATGATGAGCTACTTCATCCCTAGAGAGTTCACTGTCGTTTTTTTTTGGACATAGCTACTGTTGAGTTTTGCTGAATTTGTGGATTTATTCCATAGCCTTAGATCCTGGCACTGGATTATTTTGATTTGTTTTATGTTTGTATGGTTGCCAGCTGTAATCTCTGTTAGAAATCCTTGAGCGAATGTTCTTGATTCTGGTCTTTGAGATAATTAAAACAAGGAAAACCTAATTAAGGTAATGCTGGGTCATTTGGTCTAACCCTTAAAGCTCTTATACCTGCTTGCTGATACAGCCTGTGCAAAGAGTCATCTCTCTGCTGATACCACAATTGTTTATCATTCTTGTCCGTCTCTCTGCCACCTGTGTAGTTCACTCTGTATGCCTTTTGGCTTTAGCTTCTTTTGGGAGGCATGGGGAGTGTTTGGTTTCTGTTTGAAGTCTCAGTACTTCAATTACTTGTTGAATAACTAATATGTGACTAGTTTGCTGAGCACATTTTTTTGGTTATGTGAGGTTATTATTGAATTAAATGTACTTTCAATTAAGTATTTACAGTTATTCTTTGGATTCTAACAGCTTAATGGAACATTTACATTAAAGTGTCATTTTAAAAGAAAAAATGAGTAGTTAGGGTCTCACTGTTCAGCTTATATTGGCTTAGTACTGAGTTTTACTATGGTAGCAGGTTGGTGAAGACAATAGTGTGTCTTCTGCAAATGGGCATCGGTTAGTTTTTTGGGTTTGGGTTTGTTTTTTTCCTTTTAACATTTTAAAAATAATTCTTTGTTGGTATCATTAGAAAAAAATAATATAAGGAAAAAAGACAAAGGAAATGTTTGACCTTTGTATCAATATGTTTCTCATATGTGTATTTTAAATGGAAAAAATAAGGTAAAAATAAAAAGGCAATAAGGTAAAAAATAAGGTACTTTAATTATTTCTAAAATTAATATTGAATTTCAGTTTGGGTTGCATGGCTAGATTATCCAGAGCACTGTATATCACTATTAAGTTTTGAGACTAGTAACTATTTAACAGCCAATTGCTCTAGAATTCCTATACTTGTTTGGATTGTCTGAAAAATTAATTGTTTTTTCAAAAGTTTCCAGGTAAAGATCAACTGGAAGTTACATTGATTTCAACATACAGCCACAGACACGCACCCCCCTGTGTCCGTGTTCCCCCCCCCCAAAATGGCACGCTGCCTATGTTTTATGGTGGTTGTTGCTTGTTTTACACTCAGGTGCCCCACGCTCCCATGCAGCCTTCCTCTGACGGTTGCGATCCACTGGAAGCGATGTCAACTAGTGCATCAATTCTTATCTCTTTATCGCTTATTCAAAATAAACCTAGCTTTATATTGTCTTAATTTTGACTTTACGTACTGGGCAACATAATTCACATATGCTTGGGCTCTGAAGTCAGCCTAAGAAGTTTTGATGTGCTAGAGAGTGACTTGTGAGGATATACTCTTTGTAATTTTCATAGCATACTCTGATTTTGGTTTAGAAATATGGTCAAAAGAAAAGAGTGTTAATTATGCAAGAGGAAGATAAGAAGCTAGTGGGTAGCAGCAGAAGGGAAATACAGTCATGCCGCATGCTGCTTTACTGGTTTGAACAGTAGCGACAGAAGGATCACAGGAAAGACTGTGTAGCTACAACCCTTATCAATGCTAACATGTTTAAAGGGGTTTGACTGACTATCAGGAAATGTGTTCACAATAGAGCCTTATTCTTGAGACTGATATGTGGATAAATACTGTTTTATGCACTGCCAAACTTTTTAAAAAAAGAAAATAGAATATCTGTGTGTGTTCTTGTACCATATTTGCCATCTCTGCAAAGGGGGAGAAAAGGTTGTGGAACAGTGTTTGGATATATCTTACTTATTCCACAGCCTTTAGAAATTTAAGCAGTTAATATCTGGAATTTGTGAATCACTGCTGTTGAATCTTAACTGTGTCTCACAAGTTGTTGGCAGCAAGTACTGCAACATGCATTCAGTATTAAATGTTTTGAGATTCAAGGTAAAATTGCAGTAACAGATGTTACACCAGTTTCTCAATGATCAATAATACACTTTAGTAAGTTAAAGTCTCGATGCACATTGCATTATTGTTGAATATTGGGTTTAGAGTACACAGTAATGTCACACTTTCAGTGTGTTGATCTGTCCATGACATTCCTCGTTGGTATAATTCTGCACTTATAACTTGTGTGCAGTGTAAGTGCTGAGTGAGGCTCCACTGCTTAGTCCAAAGGCTTACACTGTATTAAAAGTGTTAGGTGATTAATTGGGTCTTTGAATTTAGAAGGACTTATGTCATAACTGCAACAAATAATTTTTTTCTAACATAGTGACACAGTTCACCTCGAGACATTATGCACCTCAGGGTACTGGAGCAACTTCTGTTCTGTTAATTAATAATCTTTCTTACATGTCGCTGCATCTTTGCTCATTCCCTGCATGATATGGTGAGCCCAGTCAAATTCTCTTAGGCATCTTTCCCTTCACTGTGCATGATACACAGATGTGCTTCCAAGAAAAGTTTGCAGTTTACAACAGTCACTATCACACTAATTCTCCATCTCTATTCCTTATCTTTTATTGCTCTGGTAAGTATAAAAAATGCCATGTACAATTCATCAACAAAAGTGGGAAAAAAAAGGTTAAGGTTTGGAGAAAAATGTGTCCCCAAAATGGGATGGTTTTATTAAGTAGATTGACAGATCCATGTATTTCATTATTAGTTAAAACCTGTGACAAAAATATGATTTTGGAGGTATCTTAGACTAAGCTAATATGATTTCTTTGCCTCACTAATGGAAGTCACAGAATCATTAAGGTTGGAAAAAACCTTTAAGATCATCAAGTCCAACCATCAACCCAACACCACCATGCCCACTAAACCATGTCCTGAAGTGCCATGTCCACACATTTTTTGAACACTCTACCACCTCCCTGGGCAGCCTGTTCCAATGCTTGACCGCTCTCTCTGTAAAAAAAATTTTTCCCAATATGTGGTCTAAACCTCTCCTGGCGCAACTTGAGGCCATTTCCTCTCATCCTATCGCTGGTTACTTGGGAGACATAGTCATAGACATTCATTACTGAAGTGAATAAAATGTTAGTATTGTCTTCATAAGAACATGGTGAACCCCCTTTTCTACTTGTACTGTAGAGTTAATTTGTTAAACAGTGTTTTGGCTTTTTAATTTTAAAAATAATCATCACAGTTGTAAAACCCAAACTGAGTAGGATCTTTGACTTCATAATTAATAAAAAATTGGTACATTAAAAAGCTGGTACATTAGAAGTCTCGAAGTATCTTTTGTTTCCATGATGATGTTCTCATATGTAGGTTGTTACTTTGGGGGGAGAAGGTCAGTGTTTTTACTGCGGTGTTTGGGGATTTGTCTTTATCAAATTGTCTTTTGTTAGCAAAGATCTGAAATCTTAAGAGTAACAGTATGTGACCCTTATTTTGAAAATGACACTTTTATAGATATAACATAGTCTGATAATAAAAAAGGTTACATTTTTCTGTGCATTTACTATCTACTGTTTCTCTGTTGTAGTGCGGTTGGCACGTTTGCTCGAGCACTGGACTGCAGTAGTTCTGTCAGGCAACCTAGCTTACACATGAGTGCGGCTGCTGCTTCGCGAGACATCACACTGGTAGGTGGCTTCTTAAAAACCCTACAGCTTCTTTTGTATCTTTGAATCCAACAGCATCTGTTACTCCAGTCCCTGTCCTCCAGATGTCTGTTTTCCTTTAGATACCTGCGTGCAAGGTGCGTGTGTGTACGGTAGATAATCCTGTGTTTTCTGTAAGCATGTTGGTGCTGCCCTTGTAATCACATTGTAAATTACTTGACTTTTGCTGAAATCTATTTAAATATAATACCTTCATATGTGATAATTTACACAGTAGAGTGGATAATACACATGTATAGGGATTCATTCAGTATAATTGATCAATAGAGTGATTCAAAGTACATGGTAACAAAGCTGACTAAAAATTGTTTAGACAATGTTTTGAACTTACTAGGTTTGTGTGTCAGTAAATTTTATAAAGTATAAGTAATCTGACTGTAAGCAACTTTTTGAAGAACATTTTATTTAGGATATCCTTTGGATGTTTCCTTAGTTCGTTAAGGTGAAAGTTTGCACTGTAATGCAAGCACCTGCATCTTTTAGAGAAAGTTAAAAATATATTCATTACAGACCAAAGTTTTGTCTCTGTATATTTGTATTAGCTGAGATGACAAGATGCACTGCAGTAATAAAAGTGTGCTGGGAAAACTGTGTGAGAACAAAAAAATCTTACTGTGTTGCAGAACCAAGTTTGACTTAGATTTCCAAAGACATCAGCAGGAATTGTTTATTATTACACCTATTTCTGTACAGAATCATGAAGATGATAGTTAAGGCTAAAGTAGATCTGCTATTCTTCAGATACTTGAGTATTTGAACTAGAGGACACTTAGTGAAACTAACAGATCAGCTTAAAATAATTAAGGTACTGCCTTATAAAGTGGCTAGACAGCCCTTGGAATTCAGTTACACAAAATTTTGTGGGAACAGACAATATCAGCAGGTTAAAAAAAGGAGTTAGAAATGGGTACTGAGGAGAAAAGGGAGAGGTGTACTGTCTAGCATTCCGAATTCCCAAGGTTTGTAGATGCTGGTGAATGAGGTGGGAATTGGCCTCAGACCGTAGTTAGTGTTACTTGCATATTTTCTCCGAGTAACATCCCTTGGTGTTGCTGTCAGAGACAGAATGCTTGGCTAGATGGATGACTGGTCTGATTCAGTAGGTCAATTCTTACATTGCAGACAAAAAATATTCATTAGTATTATAAGAAAAACATTTAATTTCTTACATTTTGCGGTGAACTCAAAGGCTATTAAACAGGAAACTGATTTAGTCGGGACTACAGTAGTGTAGTAAAGGCAGTAGCAAAATGTAATGTTTTAAGTAATACTCAGAATGAGTTTTCTGTTTCACAGTTGCTGATTTGACCTTACCAACACAGTTCTGTCCACATTAAACACTGTATTTTTTCCATCAAAATAGTTCTTTAGTTTAACATTTTTCATCTTATGAAGATTTCATTGGATTAAGAATTTCTAATAAATCCGACACATGGCACATGCATAGAATAATGGAATCATTTAGATTGGAAGAGACCTTTAGGATCATCAAGTCCAACCATTAACCTAGCACTGCCAAGTCCACCACTAAACCATGTCCCTAAGGACCACATCTACACATCTTTTAAATACCTCCAGGGATGGTGACTCCACCACCTCCCTGGGCAACCTGTTCCAATGCTTGACAACCCTTTCAGTGAAGAAATTTTTCCTAATATCCAATCTAAACCTCCCCTGGTGCAACTCGAGGCCGTTTCCTCTTGTCCTGTCTCTTGTTACTTGGGAGAAGAGACCGACACCACTTTGCTATAACCCCCTTTCAGGTAGTTGTAGAGAGCGATAAGGTCTCCCCTCAGCCTCCTCTTCCCCAGACTGAACAACCCCAGTTCCCTCAGCCGCTCCTCATAAGACTTGTGCTCCAGACCCCTCACCAGCTTCGTTGCCCTTCTCTGGACACGCTCCAGCACCTCAACGTCCTTCTTGTAGTGAGGGGCCCAACACTGAACACAGGATTCGAGGTGCGGCCTCACCAGTGCTGAGTACAGGGGCACGATCACTTCCCTACTCCTGCTGGCCACACTATTGCTGATACAGGCCAGGACGCTGTTGGCCACCTTGGCCACCTGGGCACACTGTATTCAGTGATTAATAGCATAGCTTCATTCTTACAACAGTTTCTTCCTGTTTGAAAGTACATGTGCAGTGCTGCTAATAAAGGGATAAGTTTAGTGTTTTGAGTGTCATATAAATGTTTCTCCATTGCAAATGATCCATTAAGTTCCATTACACTTAATGAAAGGCATATCTTATAATGAGGCACCAGTGGAGCCACCCCAGGTTTAATGATTGTGTCTGTCTGTCCTCATTTTCCTACCCCCTGAGCTTTTTTAAACCCTTCTCTTTTGCTCTTTGATAATGTACTTCTTAAGTTAAGAAAAGACGTATTTGTCATTATAGTAGTTATTCTTTCAGACATTCCCATGTTAATTGGGAGCATATTTTGAGCAGCAGTTAAAGTTAGTATAGACATTTGCAGAACTTGTTGTGTATCTTATTTATGCTTTGGCAGGGATGTAGTTGTATAGCACTAAGACAATTATACTGTCTCTGATTAATGCAAAGCAGATAACCCTTGCACCTGAAGTGCTATTAATGGGGTTTCTGTACACCACACCTGCAGCTTTCCAGTATTCCTAATTAGTTGTTTCAGTTAGAGATTACTGTAAACAGACTGATAGTAAAAAAAAAAAAAAATTACAATAAATACAAAGGTTATAAACATTAGTAAATTCACAGTGGATGTACACATGAGGGAGGTTTTGCAGCTTAACAGCAAGTGAGAGGCTGCTTTCAGGCTTCCTTATTTTGAAAACATGGGGAAGGTAATGAGACAAGGCAGGAAACTACCAATGCCTTTGAAAACCCTACTGAAGGACATGAAACAATGTGTGTTTACCTTCTTAGATGATAGCACATGTGCTTTTCTGACAGTGGTAAAGACTTGTGAGACAAACAAACAACTGAAACTTTCATTTCTGGCCTTCTCAGAGGCAGTGTTTTAATTTATAATTAAAATTGATCTCTGAGAAGAGAAGGAAACTGGGAAGATTTCCTGTTTCAGATTCCTAAACGTTGCTTAGTGCATCCACTGACAATGAGAGCCATTAAAGCAAAGCAGGTTGATGGAATCACTTGCTCCTTGTGGTGAGCTTGTTCGGACGAGCCTGTGCTACTTTACTGTAAGGATGTAAATCTGGTTTTGGACGTTTCTTTAAAATGAAAAGTAAGAACAGGTTTTTCCTTTGCATTTTGCATGACATCTTTTTAATGATTTTCATTAGACTTCCATATATGTGGTTCCTAAGATAAACATGCTTAAAATAATATATTGAATTACAGAATCCATACTCTGTTTCCGGTTTGAGTGCTTTTTTGGAGGCATTTCAGTCTAGATGATTTAACTGACTACGGAAATTGCAGCTGGTGTAGGAGCTGTCTGTTACAGCTTGTTTGCAAGCGTGCCCTGTCATTCCCTTTCTTCCCAGCTCCATGCAGCCCTTCCTTAGCTTTTGATGGGTAGTTTCTTCCTTTATCTGCTTAAATTTGGACTTGAAGTTCCCTCTATCTTGTGGTGAATTCCTCTGGTGGGACCCCTTGTCTGTGCTGAACAGTAAGCTCTGAGCAAGAGTTCTTAGGGAAGGATGGTTCTTCCTCTGTCCTTCACGCTTCTCTTTGGGAGAGGCAATGACAGCTCTTCCCAGCCTCCTGCTCCTTGGGTATTGGGTACCCGCTAGTTGTTTCTTGCAGTCCTCTCATCCTTGGGTAAAGCAGATAAAAAGGAGATACTCCAAGACTTTTCGTCTTGGGCTCTAGTAATGTCTTCAGACTGCTCTTGCTTTTGCTAGCATAGTTGAATTTGATTGCAGGTGAGGGCTGACAAACCTGCACAAGGCAGGGAGCATTATCGTGGGAATTTGTCAGTGATCTTCTGTCACAGAACGGCTCAGAGAAGACGGTACTTATCCGTAGAGTTCATTATGAATTTTTTCTTTAGTAATACCAAAAAAAGCTTTATGGAATCAGATGTTTATTATAGATGGGAAAATGAACATAAGGCAAGAGCAAGATCCTGATTTCTTCAATTCTGTTGTCATTTTTAAGAAAGTTGCTATCAGTGAATAGATCCAGATTTAGCAGCTGCTTGGGCAATGTCTGGTATGTACTGCTTTTCCACAAAGGCTGTAATTTAAACAAAGATTTAAACCTTGGTAACACACATATGGTAAGAGTTCAATCTTTAGGCCTGCTTTACTCATTGACTGAGTGATATGCAATAAATCAGCGGTTTCATTTTACATTCTCTAATTTGAAGATTATGGATTTTGGACATTATGCTATGTATTTCCATATTAGAATACTTCTGTACATATTAGAAGGCTGCTTCTAAAGGCTGGTGAATTTGACTTGAACCATAAGTATAATGACATATTGTAGGATAACAGTGACGTTACCTCTTGCAGACAAAACAGTTCAAGAATCTTGTGCTTGATAGCTATATTGAAAACTGGAGAAAGACTTTAGCCACTCATAGAAGATGGCAAAAGATAAGGGGAATTCATTATTTGCAGTACATTTGTATGCAGAAGCTCAACTGGAATAGCTTTCTTAGTGCTATACTGACACATAATACAAGACTGTTCCTTCCTTGAAAGGTTTTGGGTACCCTCTCTCATAAGATGAGTTTGGGGCTTTGTGAGAGATTGCATGCTACAGTTACAGCTCATTGCTGTGGTGGGACAAACAGGTGGGAGACTGGTGTTACGCAGTCACACACATTATTGCGGTTTATACCTCTAAATACCTCCTTCAGCACAGCAATTGAAGATTGCGATGATGGGGGCTTTTGGGACGCTGAGTCAGAAAGGCTTCCTGTATGTTGCTTATTTTCCCTGCAGGTGGATTTGTGATGTAGTTGCTTACTTTTCATATTCCCCATCATCAGTTAGTGATGTGAGCATTCAGTGTTGCCTCTAAAGTAATGCTGTAGCTGGTTTGTTTTCTGTTTTCTCCCTTTAAAAAGGAAAGAAACCTCATTTGCCCACCTCCAACAACTGAGTTTAGCAAAATCTTGCTTGTTTTTAAGTATGTTGATAATGAAAACAATAAATGGCTTCCTTCCCCAGCAGTGAGAATACTGAGCCACACAGATGTCTGGCTAGCTGTTTAGCTACTATTTAGAACTCCTGTTAATTGAAAATAACCCCTCAGTCAATATATACCGCTGTCTCTATTGGGTTACTTGGAACCAATTTCTACCAACTAAAGATTCTCTAGAAATGTTTGCAAGTAATGCGCAGGAACCAATAAACTAATGTCATTTTCAGTAAACATTTTAGTAAGGCATTTCCCTTCCCAAATTAAGTAATAAACAATTTATTTTCCTTGTGTTCCACAGCAGAAAGCCTATGATATCAAGATAGATTCTAAATTCAGCATTAGTTGAGGCTTCTTGCATGGCTTATAGAAAATAAGACATTGAATTTACATTAACTGAAATGGACTGCTGTCTATTTAAACAAGTTTTTTGTTATCTCCTTCTCCTTGCTAGTTTCATGCAATGGATACGCTGCATAAACACAACTATGATTTGAGCAGTGCCATCAGTGTTCTAGTGCCACTTGGGGGGCCCGTCTTGTGTAGAGACGAAATGGAAGAGTGGTCAGCATCAGAAGCTAGTTTATTTGAAGAGGCATTGGAAAAGTATGGCAAGGACTTCAATGACATTCGACAAGACTTTGTAAGTACGAAAGTAGTACGCTTTTCTGTTATTCTCATGGGTGAGCATAACTGCTTCCTGCAGGTTTGGACGATTAGCTAGAGAAGAAATCTGTGCAGTTGATATATGTAATTAACATACATTTTATCTGGATGAAAGTCAATATGCTTTCTTGTTCGGTGCCATTCTTTGGAAAGATGTTGACAGAAGATAATCTGTTTAATACCAGGTAGGATGTCTCATGCTGAAGTGTTTTGGTAAGGATTTTACAAGCATCTGAAAAAGCTTCAGCACCTTTTCAGAACTTTTCCACAATTTGCAGTGAAATTCATTAGCAGCTACGTAGCTGACTCCCCTGAGTGTTTTTGGAAAAGCTGGGGTTTCCTTCAACGGTTAGCAGAGAGAAATTTATATTCAGATATCTTTTTAAGTGTGTTATGGGGAGTTATTTTGGCATACTAGGTATTTTGGCACTTTGGAAAAGTAAAGGAAGTGTTTTCCAATGTGTTCTAACTACACTGGTTTTGGTACTGATGTATCAGTCTATAGCACAGCAAAGCTTTAATTTGGTTGATTCTAATGCAGAGTAATTAAAGGAGATAGATTCTGACCCTGATTGCTGGCCCTGCTAGTAATTTGTCTGTGAATTTTTTTTGCACGTTTCTTGGAGAGCCACTTTCTTTCAAGGAAAAATATTTCCTCTGTTGTAAGTTCAAGTTGGGCTTTGGGAGAGGTTAGGATTTGAGCCAAAGAAATTCCGTTATTTAAGACTGAAGTAGTTTGAAATATTTTCACAAAAACTCATTCTGCTTGACTCTTTAGAGCTCAGATATTTTCTTTTTCCTTGCAGATGTTACTAATAAGCTTTGTGAGGGGAAAATGGTACTGTATGGGTAACATGGAAGTCCTTCCATGATAGAGTTCTGGACAGTGGGAATAGGCTTGGCACTGAGCTAAGCTGTCTTTTCTTCACTTTCACAGTTCTAAAATGAAACAGATAATTGAGTGAAGGTGGGAAGGGAAGGCTATTGTTTTTCTGAAGAACTGGCAATTTAACAGGTGTTTTATATCTGTGTGTTATTTTTGAGATTCCTAAGGGAGAAAATGTTCACTGCATTCATCACATAAGGCTGAAAATTGCATCATGGATGAAATAGCTCTGTTAAGTTCAGGAAAATGTAATTGGAAAAGAATATTTTATAGAGTTTTAGAACAGAAATCTTCATCTAAACTACAATTCCTTATTATTTCTCATACAGATAAATGGTCCTCAGCTGTAATTGTGCAATAGTTCGGTGGCTATGTCTTGTAACTAAATGTTTCCTAATACGTAGCATTTGGCTTTTCAAAATGCCTAAAGCATATATTACAGATTTTATTGACTGTTTACAAGTTGAGTCCTAACACAATTTGTGACCAAGCCTTGTCTCTGGTATTTATGTAGTGTTTTTATTTTCTGTATAGTTTCTGTGTTATGTTACATGTAATTCTGTTGGTATGCATACATTAAAGCAGTACAGTGGAGTAATATGTTGCAGGAATTGCTTATGCATTTGTAGTGTTCAAATGCTAGATATTTGAGTGAGTCTACTAGAAGCTGTTCAAAATGTTCAAATTTTATCTCAGGTAGACTCCTGGTACCCTCCCTCTTTCACTGAATCTTCCTTCCCAAAATGCAGATATTTTCCCTTGCCCTCCTCCCACAGTGAGACGCGCACAGATCTAGAGAGGGTTGCATAGCCTACTGAGGTCACATTAATGATGAGTCAGAGTGCAGCAGAAATGGATGTGGGGCACTAATTAATTATAGTTTCATTTGGTTAGAGCAGGGATGTTATCTATCCTTAGTCACTTTTTCTTTACCTTTGGAAAAGCAGCATGTCATTTTTAAAACATCCTTAGAAGAACATATATTTTACATATCAGTTTATATGGTGTTGGTAACGTAGTGCACATAGTCTTGATCTAATTCTAGGTAATTTGAAATCTTTCAATTATATTAATCATTGTGTAATCTTGGGATATTGTAATTCTCTAGAGTAAAATGCATGTGTTCTCACTTGCTATGTAGCATTCTAAAAGTATAGGGATTTGAAAACATTTGCTTTTAAGTAATCATCTAAAATAGTCCTTCGAGATTTAGATCATGGATATATGAAAGGTTTCTACAAGGCGAGATAGGTATAAACATGTAGCGCTTAAGCAGTGATTCTTTTCATGAGAATGCATCTATCTGTTGCCGTCCCTCTCCTCAGTGCTAGTCACTGAAAAGTAGGTACTCTTACATGCGACATAAGAGCATGGACAAAGAAGTTAATGCACTGGTAGCGTACATGCTAACTTTTTCAAGTGCCCATGTCGGATTTAATGCTAAAATTAAATCCCGTGGTGCCTGAGATTAAACTTGGACCTAAGCAGTCACGCAGTGGTGCCACAGTACAGGCAAGCCTGTCGTGTTACGTGGCAGAAGGTGGTTGGTAGCAGCCTCCTGAAGCACAAGGGATATGTGGTAACTGCTTGAGTCGTATGCCAGAGGAGTTGCCTTTTCTGAATCAGCCCGGATTTACAAGGCATGGCATCTGCAGTTGCAGCCCTTTACCTGGTAGTTCTCTAAAGGGCAGGTTCATTTACTTTTCCAGCAATTAGGAAGAACTGGCACTATTTGACATTCAAGGTGCAGCTCAAGCATTAAGCTACAAATTTTAAATATTAGTAAGCAAGACAATTGTTATAAATTAAATGGTGTAAAGCAGCTTATCTTTTTTTTCCAATAGGCAGGAGAAGCTCATTTGTTACTGAATTACCAGTCTAGTCTTTGAATAATCATTTTCATCAGCTGTTGACTCATCAACTGTTACAGGAGCTCATTTGTTGCAGTTCTGCTGTCTTTAAGAACCTATGTGAATCCTAATCAACCTAAACTTTTCAAGTTAATTGAATTTTCTTGATGTACTTGAATTACTTCACGTCCCAGGGTAGTAGAATGGAAGAAGACTGAATATTTTATGTTCTCAAAATATAACTATTTTCATAATGTTAAGAGACAGCTGTTATGCTTGTTAATTCTTAGTTTTTCATTATCGACACTTTTCACAAATTTATAACTGTTACATCTCAAATATGGCAGGAAAGGCCTTGAGAATCAGACTTGAACCATTTATAGAAGACAGGAGCAACTTCAGAAAATTGTGGAAACATGCCTTAAAGTTACCGTGTTTATTTTAAGATACTTTTGTAATTCTAAATTTTTCCTGCTAGTCTGATTTAATGGTCCATTTTTACCCTGAAGAAACTGAAAATTTCCTTTCCCGATTTTTGTACTGCTGACACCTATTTGCTAGTTTTCTCCTACGAGAATGTCACACAGATGGTCATTTTTACTTCTTTCAATTAGTGTTTAATAACATTTGGTAATGAGAGTACATTATTCTATGGCTCTTCACAGCTTTTTCTGGCAGTTCAGAGCAACCTATGGAAAATTCACATGCCTCTACAGTGTTTTGTCATTTAAGCGCGTAGGTAAGCAATACGGGCTATTCATACTCAGTCTATCAAACAGGTTTTCTGAGTTGCGAATCAAAGTATAAAAGGATTATGGTTATCCACTCAAAGCACCTTAATTACCTTTCTTTAATTGTAGATGCCTACTGAGAGAAAGAATATACTGGTATCACAATCATAGTTAAAACAGATTAAAATATTTTCTAGAGAAATGTCAAACATAATCTGTAGTATTGAATGTGTTAATAAGTGTTCAGGAAGGAAAATAAATACAGCGAAGCTAAAATGCACTAGTTGACAATGGCAGGTAGCTACGGTGACAGTGTTTCATCTGGATGCCAGGAAGAACATGGACTGAGAAGCAGCTCATCTGTCACCTTGCACCAAACACATGTTCCCCTCACTGGCCTTTTCTTGGGCAGATTTCTCTTAAGGCATAATTTACCTGAGAAGGTAAAAGGTTTTTAGTAAACCGAATTATGTTGCGATATATTGCGACATGAGCTTATGCATTTGTTACACTGCTACATGTTAAATGCAAACGGACAAAACTGCTATCGTTTGGGACCAGGGGTTTACACACTGTGGTACATTGCCTCAAAAAGGATTCACAGCTGAGTCTGGACCTGAATCCCAGCTCCTGAAAGGCAGAGGTGGGAGCCAGACTCAGTCCCTCTTAAGTACCTGCAAGCAAGCAGCTTGAAAAACTGGCTGTGAGATCCTGCATGCCGGGAGGGGCTGCTTGGTACAGTGTTCCGCTGCTGCTTTTAGGAACATAATTAGAGATTCAGGAACCTATTCTTTTGGCTTAGGACATGGAGAAAGCCCTAAAGTGGAGTGGAAAAGGTTGGAAGGATAATATTTCCACATGTGTATTTTCTGGGACTTCTTAAAAGTCATCCTTATTTCTGGAGAGTAGACAATAGTAGCATTAATGCATGCCTCTAGAGAAAAACATGCGCAAAATAGTAGCATGTTTCCTGGTTATGAAGAAAAATTGCATAAATTCTGTCAGAGAATTACTAATTTAAATGATAGAAAGATTTTTATGGAGTGAAATAGGTGATTCATTAGTAAGTGAAAATGGCTGCTGCATGTTTAATTTTCTCCTCTACATTTTCAATTTACCGATGAACTAGTGCACCCAAAATAATAATCATTATCATCACTTGCCCTGACTTTGCACAGATTTTTGTGAAATATTGTCAGTATCGCTCATGTTGCTCAAGGCAGTATTTGTCCTTAGCATCCCTTTGTTTCTTGTTTAATGGTCAAGAGTATGCAGACATGTATGCAAAACCAGTGGTATTGTATGAGCAGCTGAGTTACTATGAGACTTGAAAAACTTGTGAACTAAGTACAATAACCATTGTATTTTCTTAAGAGTAAAATTATCATGAGACTCGAACACAGTCTTGTCAAGATGATTTATTTTAGTCCTGATGTTGTTCTCCATCTGATATACTTTCGAACAGAGATACTACCTTCTGTGTTTCCTGATGGAAATCTGGATTCAGTTTTGATCATTTTGTTTAACCATATGGCTTAAATAGAATAAATTGTATTTGGTCTTGGATGTTTAGTATTGTTGTAGCTCTGCATCTTTGTTAACTATAAGGAAAGATTGTGTATTATTAATAGTACTATGTATTACTTGCATATGGATTTTGATTTAGGCATTTAATACACTCATATTTTAGTATTTGTATATCAACTATACAATCATAGAATCTTTGGGTTGGAAGGAGCCTTTAAAGGTCATCTAGTCCAACCCCCTGCAATGAGCAGGGACATTTTCAACTACATCAGGTTGCTCAGAGCCCCGTCCAACCTGACCTGGAATGTTACCAGGGATGGGGCATCTACCACCTCTCTGGGCAACCTATGCCAGGGTTTCACCACCCTCATGGTGAAAAATTACCTCCTTATATCTATACTTGATTGTAATATGTGTTTAATAAGATGTGGACATTGCAATTTCTTGGAACCACTTTAATTTGTAACAAATGTTTTTCAGCTCCCTTGGAAGTCGCTGACTAGCATCATTGAGTATTATTACATGTGGAAAACCACTGACAGATATGTGCAGCAGGTAATTTAATGGCATTTTCAGCATGAACCAGTCTGCTACGTTCTTTAAAAATCCGAACTTGTTAAAGCATAAAAATCTCCTTGTATTCTTAAAAAGAAGCATGGTGGGAGGCCTATGGTAATATTTTAGGCTATAGACCAGTGGTTTTGTGCTGTTCACAGGGTGCACTGTCAGATCCTCTGATGCCTACTGTACATCACATAGCTGTGAAGAGCTTTTTAAGCCATTTATATTGTATGCTGGTTTGTGGCAGTGTGTTTCCTGGCTCTTACTGCAGTATGGGATAAGAAGGAAATGGGCTGCAGAGCAAATGCTTTAGGCTGTGAAGCTGTGCATGAGACTGAGGGAAAAGAAATATCCATTACGTGAAAGGTGGCTGGTAATGTTATGAACCTTTTATTGATATTCCATGGTAGAACATTACTTTGGCATTACCAGGATTTAAAAACAAAATTGAGAACATTCTGCACACAGTGGATGTGTTCATCCTTATGATTGAATGTTCAATTGTTTGGGTTGCTCTGGAGCAGAAACATGATAAGATTGTATTAGGTACCTACACTGGGATATTCTAATCAGGTTTAGGCAAAATTTTAGTGTTGGTGCTTTTTATATCTTGCACTCCTTGATTTAGATATGCAAAATTTTTTAAAATACTCCTTTTTAATTTATGAATTAACATGTAAGTCTGCAGCTCCTTTACTTGCTGCATAATTAGTGGTGATGTTACATAGAGCATGTTGAAAATAAAATTTATGCTGTAATGATTACAGCTGCGTTGTTAGATCGATCTTTGGAGTTGTTGCCGACTTTGTTACAGTGTGTCAGAAGAATGATTGCTTCAGGTTGTTCTGGTTTATTTGAAAGTGTTTCTGTATCATCTTGTTAGGGTATGGAAAGTAAGGGAGAAGTCTTTTACCACATAGTAGAGTCTTGGACTGTCACTAGGACCTTTTAGTTCTGTGATAATACAAATAGAAAATAATATGCTGTGTATAAAGGCATGTTTTTCTGGGTTTGTCTCCATTCATTTCACTTCTAACACTTTTTTTGCACTGTTAATCTTTGTCCTAGAAAGGTATTGCCAGCAGAGATTTGCTGTGATGTTTGTCAGCTCTTAAGCATTGGGCAACGGATGATGTTGAAGAATCAGATAAAAAGATTTTATTGATACTGAAAGCCATGGAGTAAGGATAAATTGAAGTGCAAATTGACTTTTGTCAACTCTCTTAGGTTGCTCAGAGACTGATCTTTTTTCCTGTGAAATTTTTTTGAAATTCTTGCTCTGGAGTGGTTGGTGAAGGACTGAGACTCCCTTTCTAAAGTTCTGTAGGGCTTCATTATGATTCCATTGCTACAATGATGAAGGTGTGTGATGGTCTGTTGAGTGTGTGTATCCTTTCACAAGATTTTTTTTACAGTTTTTACTCTCACATATAAGAAAAAACACATAAGCTTTACAGTTCTCTCAACTTGAATACTCTTATAAAAGCCTGTGTTTTACTTCTAACTAAGTAAACTTACAACATCCGAACTCAGAACATGGCAATACACCACAGGATTTAATGGTCTAGACAAGTTCTTTCGAGGTCATGCATGATCATCCATAACAAACCCAGTGTAGGCCAAATACCTTATTTCTATCACGGTTAACATTTTTGTAATACTTCCTAACGAGAGATGAGAACTTCATCCTGGTCTTGTTTAGTTTCTTCTGGAATGGTAAAGATAATACAGCTCAGTAAAAATGACATCTGTAGTTTTTTGGTGTTGTTTTTCCCACCAGACCAAGCTGTGATAATTGAATGCATTTCAGGGAGAAAATATGTTCAGTAAGAAAGTGGCAATTTCAGAGTCATTCTTTCTATGCCATGCTTGAGGGGTAGGGCAGCTTGGGAAATGGGAAGACAAAAAGGTTGATGTACGTACTTGAATCTTATGCATAAAATACAGTCTTTGAACTCTAGATCTCTGTGATTTAATATGAAAATTTGCTCTTTAATTACCTTTATTCCTTTGTATGAGTTGGCTGCATTGCATCAGGCATAGGAAAGGTTTCCTTATCATCATTGCTACTAAATGTTATTCTTGCTTGGTAGCTAAAGGTGGTGATTTAATGGCAGTGGAGATGCTGCTGCCACCTCGCCTTAAGAGCACGTTCCCTTCAAGTCAAGGTGAAGGGAAATAGATGCGTTGAAGTTCTCAGTCTGTGCTGAACCTGTCTGGCAAAACTAATTCAGGCCTTGGGTAATCACTCTTGGTGATATGGCACTTTTCGTGACCCCTGCGTTACGTAGTGTTTGAGGAAGGCCAGGTGGCTCATTCCACTGGATGAAATGTGTTCCCATGATTTGTGGTGTCCTCCTAACCGCTAATGCTAAAATTGCATTCCTTACAACCCCCACGCCAGTCCTAAAAGTATGCTAAAATTCAATCCATGTATATAGTAACTTCTCACTGAGACTGCCATCGTGGCTTAATACAGCTTCGTACAAATGCCTTTACATTCTGGCAGTGCTTCAAGACTACTTTCCTCATATCTTTCCTTTTAGGTAATGTTTTTCTCTTTTGCTCTGATGATCTTGCCAGGTGTATAGTGAGACCTATTCGTTCTTTTTATAGAACGAGACCAGTTTGTTATGAATCTCTGTGGAATGTGTGTTACCTGCTGACCTGCAGTCTCGTATGCTTTTTCAGTCTGAAAACAAATTCTGTATTGTTGGGTGTAATACGAAAGGAAAGAGACAGTTGTGGAAAGCTGTGGCCTGAACCTCTTAAGCAGAAAGAGTTCACCGTTGAGAGCTCTTCTGCTGGGGCTGTGAAACGTTCTCAGATTAAAACTCTCAGCTTATGAGACTTGGAGCATGCTGCTGCTGTTCCTTCTCCTTGCTCCTGTCAAAACTGGCTGAAGCAGGCAGCGCGTCCTGTGTTTGCCTTTCTGCTGCGGCCTGTTGAAGGTAGCGCAGCGTTGCCAAGCCTGGTGCTGGGGAAAGACTGCAGCTGCGACAGATACATCAATGGAAGTCACTTCTGTAGCTCTGAACACAGCTCAGCATCTGTGAACAGCAAAAACCTGTTCTAAAAAAACAAAACCCCCAAAACCCAACATATCTTGGAAATGGAGAAGCGTTTTCATATTGCATAGGAATTAATTCATGGTGGCATGGACTGCTTAGGAGTCTATTTGTCATAGGTTGCTCTTCAAAGATGCAGTTTTTATAAATGAGAGTTGTGGTGATGGACAGGTCCGAGGTAACTTTCTGAAGTGGAAAAGAGCAGTGGCTTACATGAGGAGGCTTACTCAGGCTGCTCGACCAGTAAAGCTGACTAGCCCTGTAACTCGCCTCATGGCTCAGGCAAGAGACTGTCAGAGCAGAGTCTTTTTATGGACTCGCTTTTCTCAAGGTGGAAGTACCTTCCTGGATTGTGAACCTTGGAAAGACTGGGTATCAGAAAATAGGAGTATAGCAGAGAAGAGAATTGGCTGTTCTATGGAGAAGTGGACAACCGAGTTTTAAAACACCTGATAAAGAAAGGGGGAATCTCGAGAGGCAGAGAGGTAGTGTTGGTTTGTTATTGCTGGATATCAATGTCTCCCTTCTTATTTTCTTCCTCTGTGGTAAAATTGACCTTGTTTCAGGTCCTGTTCTTCTCTTTTATTTTTTTTTTTTTCCCAAGTGAATAGAAGTAATGTCTTGAGTACAGGAAGAACAGAGGAATAATCTTTTTTTCCTTCATCTTTTACATACAGACAAATGTTTTGGGTAAAACTGTACTTCTTGTGCCATTGCTGAAACAATTATTGTCTTAGTTACTTTTACAATATGTGACAATAACGAAAACTTCTCAACATTTTAGAAGTTAGCAGTACTACCTCAAGTGCAACACACTTTGAGTTTGTTGCAAGTATGAAAAAAGTGATACTTTAGTAAATTCACAGACTGTCTTGATAGTAGCGTAGCTGTCCTGCTGCTGTGTGTTCCTGAGCTACCGTTTTAATGGCACGTAGTGGAAATAGATGTTTAGTTATTTCTAGCAGTCAGTGGACTTTACTGTTCCCCTTCCTTACACTGCTTATAAAATACTAGCCTCAGGCTTGACAGAGCACAGAGAAGTATTGAGTTACATGACTGATGAGCAGCTCGTCGTGTGCAATTTCATTCATTTCTTTTCTACTTGGTCTCCACTGAGGGTTAGCCACAATGTTGTACATGTTTATGTAGATGTAATTTATGTACATTGTAATTGTTGTTTTTACAGTTTTGTTGTCATATGTGAGGCCTGTGAGTTTTACTGGGGAGGACAGTATATTATAGTTTCAAGCTAATAGTAAAAACAGAGAACTCGGTTTTCGTGGTTTTCATCATAGAGATTTCTACACTTGTTTTGGAGTTTCTTGTGCAGTTACAAAACAGAAATAATTTGAAGATGGACTGTGTGTGCAGTTTTATGAAATCTCATACTTGAATATAATAAAATATTGTAATATGTTAATTTTTCAACTAGAAACGTCTGAAAGCGGCTGAAGCAGAAAGTAAATTGAAACAAGTATACATCCCCACCTAGTGAGTATAACAACAAAGTCTTTTTTTTAATAATGTACAGGTAAAATTGAAACGGTAACATGCAGTTATATGCAGTAACATATTGTCATAATCATCTTTTTAATAGTACTTTCTAAATGTTTGTTATATACAAACAGAGATATAATCAGAAAATGCCACAAACTGTTGTCATCAGTGAAACCTTGGTACTTAACTGAGCCTGTTGTCTTTGACGTGCAAACTGCCTGCTCTGGAATGGTGAGAAGCTGTACAAAAGGTGATCAAGTGCTACATGGGCTGCTCGCGTGCAAGAAGGACCTTATTTAAAAAGCAGTTTTTCCAGAATAATCGCTTCTGAATCCCTGTAGCACAACAGTTCATATTTGTGTAAATGCAGTATTTCAAAACAGAAGCAGCTGTTAACGTAGTTACATAAAATAAAATCGCATACTTTCCCATTACAGTTTTATCTTGCTGATACAGTCTTTTCTTTAGCTAGAGACAAGAGATGTTCTGACTGTAAATTAAAGATGGCACACAGCCCCAGATCTTTTCTCTTTGAACAAGTCTTATTAATGAAACCTGTTTTCTTCTGAGGAGTTTTAATCTGGTTTTTTTAGATTTAAACTCTATGCTATATCTGCTTTTGTTAACGTGTAGTTTAAAGAAACAAGATATAATCTGTCTTTTTCATATTCATAATTTCCTCAAGGTTGTGAGAAGAGAAAGGATTACAGATGACATTGTAGTAAGCTTTCTGTGGGTATATTCAGTTTACATATACGTGAATTTCCCATTGTTATAAGTGTTTGTATAATGGAAGACTAGAATACCAAATTAAATACTCTGAAAATCCACTGTTGTCTTTTAGATGACTTGTATAAATTGCATACAATAGAGCTTAATTTTGATATTTCATACAGACTTTTCTCTCTTAAACAGATTTAATAATACAAACAGCAGACTGTTAAATTCAGTCTTTTAATCTCATCTCTGAAGAAATGTTGTGAGTTTTGAACTCGGCTCTGTAATAAATGATGCCTTTTTAAAAATAGCTGAAAACTCCAGTATGAGTGTTTCCTAACCCTCTCAGGGAAGTGGCTGCTTTAGGAAAATTGTAAGATGCTCAGTCTTTACATAATGCTTTTTCAATTTACATTCTTTGGCCCATGTGGACAATTCGGACTTCTGCCAATATGTTCACAGTAGGGACTAGTTGTACTGGATGATGAAACCTGTTTTGAAATGTAGGATTTCTGTGTGTTTTATCTTTCTTACTGTCTGTCTTTTGGCTCCATGTCAAGACAAAATCCATAGTCGATGGTAAGAGGGTGATAGGACTTCTCAAGTCTTTGATAACTGTGTAATCTGGGGCACTTGTGGGGTAATGGTTTGCTAATGCTCTGTTTCAAGACACCTATTGTATTTGAAATCTGAGTAGAATTGATTTTCAGAGCTGAATACCTTTTTGAACTAGATCGTAAGGTATTTCCTGTAAAAACTAGGTTATCTCCTCAATATCAGGGAGTCCTGTTCAGTTCACAGCTTCTCTGGAAGGTAACTAAGCAACAGATCATAACGTGGGAAACTTAATCGTCTCGCAATCCCTTCTCTTGTACCTTGAGCCAAAGGTACTTGATAAAGAGTATCTGGAAATGGTAAAAGTGTGTCTCACTGGCCATAGTGAAAAAGGAGAAGGCAAGAGGCAGACTCACCGGCTTTTGGAGTAGAGACTTGATACAGCAATGGTTTCTTAGATCAGTCATTTTTACTAATGTTGAATGTATTTTATGATACCTAAAGTAAAAAATAATCATCTTAGAGGAATCAATATGTCCAGCTTTGTATTGCCTTGTATAGCTTGTCAAAGGGGTAATTAAAACCCACAAAGTTGGAGCTTTGGAAATACTGTACTTAACCTAGCTAGGAGTATATTAATTCTGTCTGAATTAACTGACCTGTAAAGTCCTACTTCACTGAAGTATTAGTAGCTAATATAATCACAATAATAATATACCAGATAAAAAATATCCAATAACAGTTCTTCAGCCTTCTCAGAGAGAAAGTAGTTCAGGACAGAACCCAGATAGAACAGCCTGATATTATACGGGCGAGCTTTGCCAGGGTTATAGGACATTCACATTTACTGCAGTTGGTGGGAAGGTATGTACTCCTGCTTGGGAGAGGAGGCAGCAGGCCCTCTTCTCGGGTGGACAGCCGTGTAGTATTATAGGTAGTGTCACTTACTCATTAGACTTCACCCAAAGTCCAGCCTCACCTTATAAAGCTTTATCTGTTGACTGGAACCCCCTCTTAAATTCTGTGCTGTGTCGGGCTTCTGTTAATGCTTGACCCTGAGACTTGGTCTGTTAATAGCTTGCCAAATAGTTTAGACCATGCGAAAGCATTTTACAAGGATCTCAAAATTTGAGTATCAAAGCAGCTTTTTACATAGCAAGTCTCTTACAGTGCTGAAAATACTAGAGGAGTATAAAAATCAGTTGTCTTGTTTAGAGCAGATTCTAGAGATGTTGCCACCACACATCAGAATTCCAGAATTAGCTTGTTTGTTTTATTGTTGACTGACCTGTTAGTAAAATCCTTTTTTTTTTTTTTTAATTTATTCAAAGCAATAAACCAAATCCCAATCAAATATCCAGCAACAATGGGAAACCTGCTGCAGTCAATGGAGCAATGGGAGCCTCTTATCAGGCACAGGCCTCACTAATAGGTCGGGCTTGTGAAAGCTGCTATAGTAAGTAAATTCTTCTCTTTGTTTTTTGATAATTCAAGAGTTTGGGCTATCTCACTATGCACTGTTTTAAAAACCAAATGTATGTATTTTTGTTTGCATGCTATAGAGGATAATTTTCAATGGCTTGCGTGGCAGAAGTAACTTTTGAGTTAGAGCTGCCTTCAGTATATTGGTTAAATGTCAATATTCAAATCTACTTCATGATTTTTTTTTTCAACAATTCAGAAAGTACAGAAAGGTAAAGTAGTATAATATGATGGCACTGATACTTGAAATAGAAGCCTTCAACATAGGTTATACGAGAGTAGACATAATAAAATACAGAAATGGCAAGAACTCAAAAGGCCTATCATATGCAGGTTCTTCACTTGCCATTGCTGTGGCTGCCTGTCTCTTAAACACCAATTAAATTAAAACCATATTTTGTATACAGAAAGTTCCAGTTAACATACTTTGTTGTTTCTCATATCACAATTTTTAAAGAATATTTTTTTGTGGAAGATAACAAAAAGAAGAGAAAGAGGGTTGAATTGGTGTTTC